ATATACTTGGTCTTCTAAGTTCAATATAATGTCTCTTCGTATGTTTTCCATGCTCTTTCACCAAAATAGCAATATTCTAACTAGAACCCAATTAATCGAAAAGCACGAGATGTTTAAGGTTTTATTTTATTTTATTTTATTTTTATTTAACTTTTTAATATTTAAAAGTTACATTTGATTTTAATTAATCTAAAATTGAATTATATTGAATCTTATAAAAAATAACTTCTTTCAATATCTATTTTTTATTTACAAAACTTAAAATTAAAATCTTAATAAAAAAAAATTGAGTTGCTTCCGGTTGAACTAATAAATTATTAATACAAGATCTTTGAGTTTGCTATAGAACGAGTTGTCTTTGATTGGCGGATGATCCCATCTCAAGAAGATGATTGGGCGTTGGGGAAAGTGTAGAAAAATGAAAAACAAAAATGGAGTTCACTAGTGTCGTAAAAGAAAAAGGAAGCCAACAAATGATATTTTGTCTGACCTCGCAGATGATGATAGTAACAGACTTGAATGGTTTAGTCAGCTTTTTATTTATTTATTTTTTTAATTAATTAACAAAACTTTAAGAGATGTATAAATATTGATAAATATACCCTTCAAAAGTTACACACTTTATTACATACCGATGGTTTTCATTAGTATCCTGTTAAAATCGATAGAAACTGTCAGTTTTAACAGTAGAAATAATGAAAACTATCAGTTTTAACGATATAAATAATAAAAATTGTTAATTTTAATGCGTACTCATGAGAAACCATCAATGTGTAATGGAATGTATAACCTTAGAGGATGTATGTATCATTTTTTAATTTTTTAACAGTTTTTTTCATTTATGTAATTTCAACCTTTTATTCCTCAATTGTGGGAAAATTTTAAGATTTTCCTTCTGCTAACCAACAATTAAAAAAAAAATTTCAATTAAAATTTGCTATGATGCTCCAAACAACAGAAATAATTTTCAAAAAACCAAATGGAGTCTAATCCTCTCATTAGCATGATTATGATTTTGAGTTTTTAGTTTTAATATTTAAATTTTAAATATTTAAAATTAATAATTAAAAACTAAATTTAAAAATTAAAATTACCAACTTATTTGATATAAAATTTTAAAATAAATACCCAAAACTCTAAATTTAATTAATTTATAGGGAAAAACCCTTAAATCAGTTCTTTAAATAGGAAGGTAAAAACAAATCTACCCAAAAAAAAAAAAAAAAAAAAAGAGAAAAAATTGCTCTTCCCAATTATTGATTAAAATAAATAATTTATTATTTAATGTGCAATGTTATTACACATAAGAAATCCATTTGTCATCTAAACATGTTTTTAATGGAAAGTTGATGTGCGATAACGTTACATGTTAAATAATGAGTAATTTATTTTAATTAATAATTTAAAAAAATAATTTATCTATTTTTTTAGGACAGATATGTCCTTGTCCTCTTATTTAAGGCACAAATTTAGAAGTTTCGCCAATTTACAAAATTATTTAATTTTATTCTAGAATTTTAAAATTTTTGAAAACCAAAATAAAAAACTCAGAATTATAACCATATTAAACAAAACCTAAGTTTCACGTTTTGTTTGTTCATCTAACAATGCAGGTATGTGCTAAAGAGAAGCCATCTAGTTTAAATGAGTTACCAACTTGCCTCATCTGGTATGTCCTTTCTCATTTTAAATTCTAAAACACTCTCCATTAAGTTTCGTACGTCAAGTGTAGGATTTAAATGTTGAGGTTAATATTAAAAAATAAATTATTTAAATACATTAGATTAATGTAAGGATACACTTTTAAGGTAAAAATATTCACAATGTATTATTAATTTATTTAGGCAACAAAATTTCATTGGTTTCTTGAGCACCTGTTATTGGTAAGTTGTTTTGTAGAAATTGCATATCGTAAAGGCCCCAAGATTGAAAGCCCATTAGGAAGCATCGAAAGGAAGACTACATATTTGCAACAAAACGGGCTTTCATAAATATTAGAAGTCCATTAGTAAACAGTTTGGCTCAATACTGCAAAAGTTGGGCTTGTCCAAGAAAAATTCTGAATCTAAGGTCCCTGAATTTTCATACGTTTTCGCCAATATTGGAGGCCCGTTAATCCTTTCTCAATTTTAATTCTCAAATGCATACAACTAAAAGGTTTTCAAAGCTACCAAGTTCCAAAAAAAAAAAAAAAAAAAAAGAGGTTTTCAAAGCTATTATAATTACAACTAAAAGGTTTTTTTTTTTGCAAGCGACTTAAATATTTTAGTAATAATTTTCTTTTATTAAAGGTAAAAAAATTTTAAATTCAAATAGCATGGACATAGCATGCAAGTAAAGTAAATTTAAGGATAAGAAAAAAATTAACTCCTATTATGCAATCCAATATAAAAAAGAAGCCATTATGATTACAATATCTCAAAGTCTGCCGAACTTAAGAAGCACCCTTTATGCCTTCAATTCAATGTGGTTTGTCATTGTGAAATCATGCAAAGAGATTGTAGTAATGGCGACAAAAACTTACATTAATTTTAGCCAATGCTACATGGATGAATTTAATTAAATAGTTAATAAATTTTTTTAACACAAATTTATGACAAAAAGTACATTTAGTGTACTATAAAGGGCATAAATTGGAAAAAAAGTTTTAATATATACCTTAAAATTGCAACCTAGCTAAGAGGTTAAGAAGCTGGGGATTTATTACCAATATTTGTTGGGTGGACCGTGGACCTATGTATTGGTTATACAACATATGATAAACTTTTTATTTTTTTTTTAAATTTCTCTTCACTCATTTGAAATTTTGAATTTGATACTTTTAATTTAGAATTTAGTTAAAATACTCCTTGAGGGCATTATTGCTTTTTTCTCTAAAAAAATTTAGCAATGTGTTAGTTTAAAATTTTAACATAAATAGGACAAGGAAAAAATGTTATGCTACTAATTAAGTACCATGTCACCATTTTCACTTAATGCGCCTACTCACCAAAGAAAATGAATCTAAATAGATTACGTGATATATTTTTTTCTTCTTTTACATTGCCATCTTGTAGTAAATATTACTAACAAAAACTTGGCCAAATTGATATCCATTAATTTAAAAATTTTGATTTGGGATTAATGTCAGAAATTCAAATTTCTATGTTACTAAGTAATTAAATTTCTGTGTTACTAAGAAACTATCCATAAGATATTTAAAAAAAAAAATCTTACAGGAAAAATCAAATCCAAGTTTTTTTTTTTTTCCTTTTCTTGTACATTGTTTCTAATCTTTACCATTCTTTTCCATGGAAACAACATTTTTTGCAAAAATTTCCAAAACACCTCAAGTTGCCGTGGAGGTGTGGAAATGAACTTGTAATAAATGGGTAAATAAAAGAAAGTGGGGATTAGGATGAAAGCAATTGCATAACCACTTAACAGCACTACC